TGCTCGCTAATAAAGTGGCTTGGATTAGGGATAGAGAAAAGACTTGAATTGGTAAAGTGCTTTGCCCAGAACCCATGTAAAAAAGTCGGATGAGGTAGCATGTGCTTGTAAGTGCTGGAAAGGTGGAGACAGGTGGAAGCTCCCTGGGGCTCACTGGTCAGTCAGCCAAGCCTAACTAGTGATCTCCTGGAAATGAGAGACCTTGACTCAAAAGAACAATCAGGAGGGCTCCTGAGAGATGACATCTGAGGTTGTCTTCTGGCCTCCACTTTCACATGTATACAAAATCTCTCTCTCTCTCTCTCTCTCTCTCTCTCTCTCCTCTCTCTCTCTCTCTCTCTCTCTCTCTCTTTCTCTCTCTCTCTCTCTCTCTCTCTCTCACACACACACACACACACACACACACACACACACACACACACACAGAGAGAGAGAGAGAGAGAGAGAGAGAGAGAGAGAGAGAGAGACAGAGAGAGAGAGAGAGAGAGCGCTTACTTTAGAATTAAAGACTCCCTGACCTTATACAGAATATATAGAATTTAGGTGACCCAGCTACAGAGGTTTTTGGAGAAAAGTTTCCTGCATTACCATGGAGGACTGGCTTTGTGGGGGGGAAGGGGGAGTTGAAAAGGGGGTTGAAAAAAATTCACCTGGTAAATTCAACCCTACTGATAGGTTATCCTGTAAATGCTGTAGTTCACACTAAGCTGAGCCTCCATGAACTGTTGCAGCCCAAGTGACACAACTCAGCAACTGACGGATAATTTAAAATAACTCAGGTTCATTACTTGTCTTTCTTGATTGTTAGGACTAGGGGAAGGCAACAGTCTTAAAATACCACGTACCTGCCTTTTACACAAAGTGGATGTGGCTGAGAACTTTCATAAGACAGTTACCCATTCTGTCCACCAACTGTCAGTCCTAACACTGGCCACACTCCTGAGAGTAGCACTTCACACAGTAGGTCATTTAAAGCTCACATCAATACAGGTCATTTTACAAGTGCATTAACCAAGATTCATAGAGGGCTAAGCAACTTTCCTATGTTCACATGACTGACTGAAAAAGGCAGAAACCTGTACTGGGTCCATCTCACTCCAAGATCCTTGTGCATGGACACCATCTGACACACTGATCTATAAAATCATGGTGAACACATTTAGGGCAAGTTGTTTAACTGAATGGGTGTCTTCTCTGACACCTCCAGGTATACAGAGCTAGTCTTTCTCACTTCTACTAGCCTAGTGCCCGGTGCCTGGACCATTCCTCGACCCTTCATTAGCTTCTGTGTTTGCACACCAGCTATCAGAACTGACACAAGCTATGTAGGAAAGAGAACTGCGAACTGAAACTGATGCTGCAGAAGTGCACGCTCGTGTGAACACTCATTCTCTCGTACACACACACACACACACACCACGTGTATGCTCGCAATAACAAGACTAGGTAAATATGGTTAAAACGTGTTCTCAAAGAGCCTAACCATGAAGCAAGGACATTTGAACTTGATGCAGTTGGCAATGAAAAGTGACTGAGCCTCACAGATGTGGCAGAGGCTTTCACTGCTGGTTGTGTTTCTAAAGCAGCTGCAGCACTCTCAGACAGCTGCAGCTCTCTGGATCAACGGCTTGGCATAAGGAACCATGCACCTATGCAGTTAAGATGTATACCAGAGGTTCTGACCCACAGTCAGAATTGTGTGGTCATTTGGATTATTGAATTAAGGAAGTCGTTTTTAGAGCAACAAAAATAATGGAGAATTATTTTGTATGCTAACTTTAAAATTTAATTAAACATGGAGAAATTGAAGATGAATATTTACCTATTTTAAGTTAAGGGATTTTTTTTTTTTTTTTTTTTTTGTTTTTTGAGACAGGGTTTCTCTGTGTAGCTTTGGAGCCTGTCCTGGAACTCACTCTGTAGCCCAGGCTGGCCTTGAACTCACAGAGATCCGCCTGGCTCTGCCTCCCAGAGTGCTGGGATTAAAGGCGTGCACCACCACCACCACCACCACCACCACCACCACCACCGCCCGGCAAGGAATTCTTTTAAATGTGCATAAACAAGAGGAAGAAGTCAGTGGATCTAAAGTTCAAGACAATAGTGTGTACACACACACACACACACACACACACACACACACACACACACTTGAAAAACCACCATACAGAAAGTGAAAAGGTGAACTGGAAAAAATATCTGCTACATATTTAACCAAAAAAATCCCTTTAATAAATAAAAGTTTTGATTCTATAAGGGAAAGATAAATATTCCAACAGAAAAATGAAGATCAATCATACAAATACCTTAAAATAAGTATAAATTATAAGAAAAACTTCATTATTAAATAAAGAAATTCAAATTAAAACAAGGCATCACTTTGCCAAATATAATGATAATCCTAAGGGTGCTCTCTGGCATCATGCTCCAGAAGCCTCTAAGAGGTTCCTTTGTGCCAGGAGGTGGTGGTGCCTGCCTTTAGTCCTAGCACTAGGGAGGCAGAGACAGACAGATCTCTGTGAGTTCAAGGCCAGCCTAGTCTACAGAGTGAGTTCTAGGACAGTCAGGACTATTATACAGAGAAACTGTCTCAAAAAACCAACCCCGCCCCCAAAGGTTCCTTTGTTCTGACACACAGTTCCCATCATTTTCATGATCTTATCTATGGACCAGTGATGTCTTCAGACAGAAGTGTCTACACATGGGATAACCACATCTCTAGGAAGAGTAAAAATAGTAAGAGATGAGCTAAAAGTAGTTATACATTCATATAGTAGAAGAGCACACAGCAACTGAAAAGTTTTCTTAAGGAATGTTTAAGGGTTTCTTACAATAATTATGACGTGTTAAGTGAAAAAGTCAATTAAAATGATAAATATTGATGGAGAAGAGAGAGACCACATTATACCTATTCTGGGATCATGAATCAATAAATTATCCACTGAGGGTGGTGGCGCACGCCTTTAATCCCAGCACTCAGGAGGCAGAGGCAGGCGGATCTCCATGAGTTCGAGACCAGCCTGGCTTGCACTCTGAATTCCAGGCCAACCTGGGCTGTACAATGAGACCTGTCTCAAAAACAAACAAGCAAGCAAAGAACAGCAACAAAACACCAAAAGCCCAACAACAGCAAAATAATTTAATTATCCTATTTATAGTTTTCTTGCAGTTTTAAATTCTATCTAACGAATTACTTTTGGAAGAAAAAAAAGTTAATCCTTATTATCTTACAGGTCACAGAGTGTCAGAGAACAAAAACACCCTGGAGGCTTGGGAGTCATTTAGTCCTTAAAGAATCTGGTCATGAAGACCAAGGCGAGGGAAATCTAATTTTTAAGCTGGCACTGTCCATTACGGTAAACATTTCTCCTCTGTCCTCACGACATTCTCATCAGCACTTGTTGGGGCAGGGTGTGTCAAGGCCTGAGACAGTTCCGTTAACAACAATGAAAATCTGGCTGAGGTGGGAGCGCTAGAGTCAGGGTGGCTGCTTGCACTGGAAGTTGAGCACAAGTCAGCACTCATTGTCTTTGCGAAGTGCTCCACAGCCACAGGTGTCTGTGCCTCCCACACTGGATGGGATGGATTACAGAATCATTCCATCATCTCTGACGGTTCTATGCAACAGCACTGTCCTAAACATTCTGCCTCAGGCCTGAGAGACTCTCTGCTCTCATCTCTTGGTATACCTCTTCCTATTCGCCAAGCTCTAGCCATAGAGATTGCTAGCTGTCTAGGTCTCCTATCTAAGGGAAAATGTACCACCCATGTCACCACACAACATTTAGAACTTTCTTGGCAGATGCCCAGATACTGACCACACAGACCTAAGCCTGGGGTTCAAGAAAAACTTTCAAAAAGAATCGATGAGCAGTTCTACAGCCTGAAGGAGGAGTAACCAGCCCACCAGACTTTGTGATGGGCCAGGCGGGAGCCAGTTCTGGGGATGATGGAGCAGGTCCCAGTACAGCTGTGGTCTCTGTCCTCATCACTCTCATCAGAACTGCTGGAACAGGGTGTGTCAAGGATGGAGTCTGAGAAAGGCCAATTAAGGGCATCACACCTTCCATTAAGGATCTTGGTGGTTTGCTTTGTGTCTTAGCAAATGAACTCCCTTATCCACCTCACTGGAGGTTAGAGTCCCCCATCTTTTCCTTCTCCTTGTCCCTTCCCATGCTATGCCAATGGAAAACTCCTCAGGGGTGTCAGCAGCAATAGGCCAGAGGGAAGGGGGCTGGCTTCGGGATACCCTTCCTAAGGCCATGATTACAAAACGATGATGAAAATCTGGCTGAGATGGCGGTGCTGGAGTCATCCTGAAAGGAATGAGTCCACCTGGAAGAAGGAGACCCACTTCAAGTTACAGGAATGCCTTGGAGGTGAGAGTAAGCAGGGCAAAGGCGCCGGCATCAGCCGCAGCGGGAAGGGCGTGTCCGGCAGCAGTCAAGCTTCACCTAGGGCCGAGCTGGCTCCTTAGGAGGGCGCCAGTTAAGGAAGGTAAGGCCAGGAGGGGCACGGACAACCTGGGGAAAGAGTAGGGACCTAGGAACTCTGCAAGGTAACCCCCCCCCCAGCCAGAGATGGGCGGGGTCAGAGGCAGCAGGTGTCCAGGCACCTGGGGTGCGAGGATGGCTTATAGAGAGCTAGAGGCGCCTTAAGAGTGTCCTTTGGGGGGCTTGGGGGTTCCGACCTTGTCCTTGAGCATTTAGAAGCGGGCAGGACGCGTTCTCCACAGCCCGAGACCTCCCTGAGCCGAGGTGTGCCGGGCCTGTCACAGGGCCGAGGCTTCGGACGTCCCCAGCATCTGCTGGCCGGACACAGGTCCCCAGCCCTCCCGCTGGGCACTCCCTCAGCGTGGCCCGGCTCTCGATCAGCCTGGCGCCGACTCCCTCCCACGCCGCGGCCTCACCACGCTCTGTCCCCCTCACACCGCCACCCCCCCACGTGGCCTGCTCCCCACTCCCGCCTCTCGAGGCTGCACCCCTCCCCGGCCACGGTACCTGGGACTCTCAAAGCTGCACCCCCTGCGCCGCAGCGCCGCCCTCTTCTGCCGCAGGAGCGCAGCAGCGGCCCCGCCGGGCTCCGGCTCCATAGCCCCGGGCGGGGGCCGACGGCTCGGGCACACTCGGGTGGGCTCGGGCCTCGGCGGTGTTCGGCCGGACGCTCAGCTAGCGCGCCGCAGCCCACGCCCCGCCCCGCACTCCTTGCCGGGCCCAAGCCCCGCCCCTGTCCTGCCCCAAACTCCAGCCCAGCCCGGGACCTCAGGCCCCGCCCCGAACGCCAGCCTAACCCCTCCCTCACACTCCCGCGGGGCCTAGGCCCCGCCCCTACTCTAGCAGGTCCCCCTGCCCCCGCCCCTGACTCGCAGCTACTCTAGCTGGTCCCCTCACCAAGCCTCCGGCTTTAGGCCCCGCCCCTACTCCCGCACGTCCCCACCACCGCCACGCCTCTGGCTTTAGGCCTCGCCTCTGCCCCGCCCCTATCCTGCAGGCCCGCCTCCTCCGCCCCTCCTGCTTTAAAGCCCTGCCCCTAGCCGGGCCGAGCCCGCCTCATTTCACTGGAGCTAGCCTCAGACCCCGCCCCGATCTCCAATGGAACCCACTCCCTTTGATCCTGCTTGAGTCTTTGGCCCCGCCCCTAATCTAGCAGATCCTCTCACCTCTCAGCTGGTCTTAGGCCCCGCCCCCGCCCCGCCTATCTCATGAGTTGGCCTCAGGTCCCGCCCCTGTCCCGCCTTTGCCCCGCCCCAGTCAGTCAGGTCCCTGCTCAGCTGGGCTCAGGCTCCACCCACGCCCCGCCCCAAGTTCCAATCCAGGAGGCTCCCTTACCTATTTTTGGTTTCAGACCCCACCCCAAACCCCAATCTAGTCAGTCCCTTTGCCCTTCAGCTTTACCAGGACCCCGCCCCAATTCCTAGCCCAACCCACCCCACGCCCTAGTCTGGGCACAGGCCCCGCCCCTAACTTCCGTTCTCCGTGTCCCCGGTCCTCCTCAGACCAGTGCAGACCCCACCCTGCCTCCGCCCCGAGCTCCAGCCACGCCCCTCCCGCGCCAGCGTCCCGGAGATCCTCCAGCTTGCCCTCCGTGCGCACACAGGCCCCCCAAGCCCACCGGCTCCTCAACTTCGTCAGGTGCCACGGTCCAGCGCTCCTGCTCCTCACCATCCCCACAGACCCCTGCTCACCTACCCCCTCCGCCACAGAGCGCCCTGACGGCCCTCCACACCACAGCTCTGCTGGCTGGCTCCTCGGCCCGACCCTCCTCACCTCAGCGCCTCCTGGTCCTTTCTATCGTAGCACCGCCCTCTTTGGGGGGCCGCCCTTCTCCACGTCCCGCCCACAGGCATGGCCCCGACCCAGAAGCTCAGCCTCCTCTCCCTAGAAGCGGGGGTCTGTACTTGCTGCAGTTCTGCGTCTCTAGACCCTTGGTAATTCTGCCCCAGAGCTCTCCAACTGCCCTGCCTACACCAGAAGCCCCGCCCACCTGTCGCCGCCCACGTCGCCTCTCGCTCACTTCAGCTGGTGCCTGGATGATGCGGGTCTTCCTGGCTGAACTGCGGTCCACCATGGGGTTTACCCTGCCTCGGCATCCAGCCAGCCAGCAAAAGCAGGCACTGCTGTTTCCTGGCGGCAGTTTGTGGTGTCTGACACAGTGAGGCTGAGGGGGCTGGAGCTTTGCGGCTACCTGTCGCGGGTTCAGGTTTTCATTCATCATCTTCCAACTCTGAGACCCACCCCCTCCCCCATTTCCTCCCGAGTCAGAGACATCATCTTAGGGCCTTGAACACTGATTGCACTGTGTTGGGGGCAGGAACTCACTTTTGCCGTCTTTTCTGTTGCTGTGATAGACACAATGACCAAAAGCAACTTAGGGGCGAAAGGGTTGATTTGGCTTACAGGTTACAATCCATCATCTGGGAAGCCAAAGCAGGCTCAGGGCAGGAACTGAATCAGGACTATGGAGGATCGAAGCTTTCTGGCTTGCTCATCTACTTTTCTTATCCAGCCCAGACCCACCTGTCCGGGGACAGCACCACTAACAGTGGGCTGGACCCTCCCACAGGAAAAAACAAAAACTACAAACTTGTCCATAGGCTAATCTGATAGAGGAAATGGCTTAGGTGAGTTCCTCTTCCCAGGTATAGTCTAGGTTTGTGTTAAGTTGTGCATCCCGAGGTTCTGGTCTCCCTTGATGCTGCACAAGCAGAGACTGGAAAGGGCATGGGTGTGTGTGCCTGCGGAGTTGCCACTGGAATCCACAATCTAGTTCTCTAGTTTATGATCGATCTCTCGCTTGCGTGCGTGTGTGCGCGTGTGCACACACACACACTTTCTACTTCTTTCTACTTCTTAGTCCTTGTCACAAGTTACCACTAGACAGTCTTATTTCATATCCTTTGCTTTTCCTCTGATAAACTGGAGTGGGTTTGCTTTTTGCCTAGCATCATGACTTCCTCCTAACATATCCTTTCAGACTCAGATCTCATGGTGACTGGAATCCTCCCTCAGTAAGCTCAGGTTGCCTGCTTTTTTCCCATGTGCATCCTGCCCTCTGTCTCCCTGACCTCCCACCCTTACTCAGGGCCTCCATGTTCTGCAACCTCTGATTTGAAACCCCCAAAGCCCCCGTCCTCCTAGGTGTCCCCAGACCCTTTGCCCTCTTCTCCAAGAGACCCACAGCATTGTCCCTGTCCCCTCTGCCTCCTACGTATCTGCATGCTAATTACTCTCAGCTGAGCCCTGGGCGGTCCATACCTCCTCCATGTCTGCGTGTGGTACAGCAGCTGGCTGCCACGGTGACTGACTGCATGTGACTCTAATAAATGGAACGGTATTCATTGGAAAACACATTTAATTTCAAAGTAAACAAAGATGTCTGTACATTAAAGTATTTAATTAGTGAAACAGTTATTATCAGTGTAACAAGCTGAGAAATACAGCAACTTGATACAAGACTGAGGTAACAAAATACTTCACCAAAAATCTAAAGAATCCCAAGGAGGGATGATGTTCAGTGGTTATTGCAGATGAGACAATTTACAAACAGCAGAGAAAGTCCTTATACAACTGCATGCAGGGTCTGCTGGGGGAAAAGACAGCTTGGGAGGATGCAGCATATTTAACAAGAAACAAACTAAGATGTAGAAACTCATTTTCAGTTTACTTGGAAGAACACATAAAGAAACTGAAAACTACTCTCTATGCAACATTTTCAATACTAAGTGGGAAACCATGCATTTTGGCACGAAATTTATTAAAGATTATACCTCACTAATAAATGAATTACTATTATTTAATTACTGAATAATGGTCACAGTCCTTCCAAAATAGGCAGACGATCTATCACCTTGCTGCTCTGAGTGGGAATTTGGGGCTGTCCACAGGACACACACTTGTGCAGCAGCAGGTTACAAGGTGGATGGAAGTCCAAGTCCAAGTTCTCAGCTCCCCAGGACATGTGGCTCCCACTCATACTGTGTTTGAACTTAACACTGAAGTTAAAGGCTAGAAGCAGGGAGCCCGTGAATACTGCAAGCATTCAGACCCTACTCTCTCATTCTGCCTTTGGGGTTCTCCCGTAACCATTTTTGAACACAGCTCTGTATCTGGCTGCTAAGAGCCAGTCAGCCTCCAGTGTGGGGGGCGGGGGTGGTGGTGCCGGAGGGGTAGTACTCCAGCTAGTCCTCAATGCAACTGACTCTCACAGAAATCCCATGCAGTTTGTTTGGGCCTTCTGAAGTCTTTTCTGGAAGAACCAATGCACAGGATTTGTATTCTGGGGTAGTGGAGAGCAGAGTCTTTTCAAAGCTGGTGTGTGAGGTGGGGATTATTTGTTCATTAACTGGTAAGTTCTACAAAGGGCCAAAATTGGATTTGTCTTGTTTCTAGCCAATTTCATTCTGGGTAGAGCCTGGTGTATAGGAAGATATGAATGAATGTTTATGCAATAAATACAATTTCAAAGGGGGTTTCTGCTGTTTTTTTTTCTTTTTTATAACATGAAATCACCAAACATATCAATATGACATAGGGCCAATTTAAGGGTCACACAAAAGGGAGGCTGTGGTTTTGGCAATATTCAATAGTGGTTGCAAGCATCCACAATGTTAGTGCAGAGCTCTGGAACCCATTTGAAGAATAAAGCAGACTTGGCTTATAAACGGCTTCCCAGTTTTACAGATCAGTTTCTATCTGAAAAGTGATATATAAAAAAACAAACAAACCACTTTTCTTAGGCTTGGGAGGTAAAGTGATGGGAGAAACACTGGCCATCTTGGTAAGAAAGACAAACAGAGAGATCTGGCTGGCAAGACAAGGTAGGTCCTTCAACAATTCTGTTGTGTCCACTCGCTCAGCATCTCAGTCTGGCAAGTGCCCCATGGAATCTGGTCTGGGAAGGGGAGGGGAGGGACCACACTCTCCCGGTGGCATGTTTAGGACCATGTTTCTGCTGCTTTCCACCAAATCTAGTCTCCACAAGGCCTTCTGCTTGCCAGGATGCACTTGGCTGACCTTGAGCTACAAAACTCATACACTGGAGAGGGACAGAAGTTACTCCTATCGTGAGTGAGTGGTTCTTGGAACTTGACAATACTACCAGCTGTCCCTCCCAGCTTCTAGACAGCATTCTACAGCTTTCACTTTGGGGGTGCCACGGTCTGTTTGCATGACAGTGTATACTTAACAACTCCAACAGTTTCACAGTATTTGTCTACTGTGGACAGTTGAGCAAAACTACAGAACTGCTTCCTCCCAGGCTAAGAGTCCACCAAAGGACTTCTGCCTCTGTCATTGACCTGGCCACCTCCCCTGCAGCCCGTGGGACAAGCCAGCACTGGGGCCACCAGCACTGAATGGCCCTGCTTGAGAATCAAATCTTTTAACTCTATCTCCAGTGCTCTTCTGCCACCTTCAAGGCTCTCCAGAGTCCTTCAAGGTTTTTTACTAACGAAGTCCAAGCAGTTTCTTCAAGAGTCCATGGTGAGGGTGCTTCTGGGAGGGAAGTCTGGTTTTCAATCAGGGAGGAGATTAGACACTTTGAAAATAATTGTGATTGTGCTCTTTCAGATTAGGCCCAAAAGAAAACACTTGTGTTGGGTAAGACAGATCTGTAAAGGGCAGAAAGTTATCTGAGTGGAGCCTGAAATTCTGGGGCTTCTGATGTCTGGTATTTCATGTG